TAAAAAAAAAAAAAGGAGTATAAAAAAAAAAAAAAAAAAAAATTTTTAAAAAGGAAAAAAATAAGGAATAAATCAATCACAGACCCTCTTGGTGGGGAGGGGGAGTGGGGGGCTGGGGTAAAGGGGGGGTCCCTTTCCCAGGGTCCCCGAGGCGGTGGCGAGCTCAGGGTGTGGCTGCGTGTGTGGGTTCCAGGTGGGCTTTGGGGTCCTCTCCTCCCACAAATTCCCTGTGTGTCCCCACCTCCTCCAGAGTTTGGCAATCTCGGTACAGCTTTGTGGGTTGTGCAAAAAAAAGAGAAAACACACACACACACACACACACAAAGAGAGGAAAACCACCCTGAAATGGATAAAAAAGGCAAAATTCACCAAAAAAAATATATATTAAAAAAAAAAAAAAAAAAAAAAGGGAAAAAATCCCCAAATTGGGTCAAAATCCCCCCTCCCTGCCCTGCCCCCCCAGCTGCCCCGTGCAGTGCTTGTGCTGCCCTGGCCAGAGGGGCAGCCCCCCCCGGCCCCCGCTTTGCCCCTCAAACGGTCTTTTTGTGTTATTTAGGAAGGAATTTTTAATAGGCACTTTTTTTATATTAAAAAGAAACCTATATATTGAGCGACGCCCGCTGCTTTCTTGCTTCTCTTTTTTGGGGGAGCACGGCCTGGCTGTGCCGGGGGCGGTGCCGGAGGGATGTTGACCCTCCCGGGATTTAGGGGGGATGTGGCGCTAGGTGGGAATTGCATTCAGAAAGTTGAATTTTGGTACAAATCGGGGTGGCCGGGGGGCCCCCAGTGCTGATCCCCTGGAGATGGGTGGCACTGGGGGACAGTGCCCAAGGGCCTGGTGGCGCTTTGGGGGCTCTGGGGGCAGGAGGGGTGTGCGCCCCTCCCTGGCACCGCTGGGCGGGGAGGCGGGCACAGGAATTCAGGAAAATTCAGGTAAATTCAGGCAAATTCAGGAATTCCCGGTGACGGAGGGGAGAAGCGTCAACGGCAAAAAGGAGGAAAATAAGGAAAAAACAAATAAAATTCAGAAATCCACCAACTTGCAGCCTGGGAAGATGAAGGCGGGGGGGTCCGGGGGGCAGCACCTGTGGCTGCGGGGGGTTTTGGGGGGCCGGGGGCGCAGGGGTTGCTGTGGAGAGAACACACGGCTCACACTGCTGAGATGCTCCGGGGGCTGGGGGGATGCCGGGGGACCCCCTCTTTGCCGGGCTGGGGGAGTAACAGCCGGGAGGAGCCCTGAGGGAGCTCTGAGCGCCCCGGTGGGCTCACAGGGACCCCCAGCCAGCCTCGGGGCGCTGGGAGGGCACGGGGAGCCCCCGGCAGTCCCCGTGCCCCGGGTGAAGGGGTTGGGCATTTGGGGGGGGCTTTGTTTCCAGCCCCAAATCCAAGGCGTGCAGAGGGGGGGTTCAGGGAGGCTCCAGGAGCTCCAGGGGGGATTCAGGGGGGCTCGCAGTCCCCCCCAAGCCTGGCTGGGGGTGTTCCACGTGTGTGTGGATGGGATGAGATGGGTCTCTCAGCACAACCCCGAACTGGGGGGCTCTGCTCCTCTGTCCCCCCATCTGAGCCCCACAGCACCCTCAGGGTGAGCTGGGGGGTGATGGGGGAGGGCTGGGTGCTGTCCCTCCACCCCGGGGTCCCACGGGTGCCTGACACCCCCTGCTCAAGGTGGTCACAGCACTGGGGGGCTGCTGGTGAGGATGGGATGAAGCCCCTCCTTCCCACCATCCTCACACAGAGGGACGGGGCTGGGGGGAAACGGGACCCATCGGGGGCACCCCGATGCTCCCACCCTGGTGGGCACCAAATGTCCCCAAATGTGACATAACACGGGGGGAACTGAGGCACGGCAGCAGGCTGGGGGGTTCCAGCCATCCCTGGTGCTGCGCCTGCATCCAGAACCCATCCCAGGGTGCTGAATCCCCACTCCGGCCCCTCCGTGAGCCCTCCTGGAGGGTCTTTCGGGAGTCCGTGACCCTTCATTCCCAGCTTGGCTCCAAAATGATGCTTCCCACAAGCATCATCACGTTTTTTCTTTCCCGCCCCGTTTTTCCTCTCTCCCGTTTCGGGTCACAACAAGCAGCACTGAAGGACGATGAAATCCCCCCCAGTAGGTAAATCCCACCAGGAAACATCACCTGGCACAGCCAGAGCCTCGCTGGGTGTGACCAGCTGCTTGGACCACAGATGGATTTCATTTTTATTATTTTTTATCTTTTTTTTTTAAGCGTCAATTATATCTGTCGAGCAGCGTGAGCCACTCTGGAGCCTGAAAATGCTCGTGATGGGGCTGATTGTTGGGGATTGATCAGCACAGCCCAGCGTCGCCTGGGTTTGCTGGGGGAAAGGAGGAAAAAGCTCAAAATCGGGGCGGGGAGGGGTGATTGTTTCGCTATTTTAAAATTTGTTTAGCATGGATTTTTTGAAGGTTTCTGAGAGCTGCTTTTGGGAGCACCGAGGGTGAGTCCGGCACGGCCACGTGGGGAGGAGAGAGCCAGGTCCTGGTGACTCGGGATGGAAATGATGATTTTAATTAAACAGCTCTGCTGGGAGGAGGGTTCCGGCCTCTCGGGACGCTGGAGCTTGGAGAGCAGGGATGCTGCAGGATGAGGGATGCTCCACGTCAGAGGGGTCCAGGGCTGGGCCACCACGGAGCCAGAGCACTGAGCACTCGATCCTTGGGGAAGACGGATTAAAGGATGTTCGGAGGGCTCTGCCAGCACCTGGCAAAGGCAGCTCTACCCCCATTCCCACTTTTTCCCATCCCCTTGGAAACACGTCAGGAATTTGCCCTCCTGCCCCTGCCTTTCTGTCCCGGCCATCACCTGGGGCTGGAGCCGGGGGGATTCCTCGCTCCCGGGGCGATGTGCCGGGGCCCAGGCCGGTGGGCACGGATGCGCATGGGATGCCTGTGCCGGTGCCAGGCTCCCCGCGAGGGTCGCGTCCCCCCGGGCAGGGCAGCAGCAGGAGCCGCCCTCACCCCGCAGTGCCGGGGCCGGCGGATCCGCCGGGAGCTGCCGGGAGGTTTGGACACCCCCTTCTCCTTCAAATTAATGGCTGTGCCGTGAAGAAAATTGAAGCCATTATTCTTCGCTCGCATCCTTTATACCCACCAACTTCAACCACTTGACATGCTAATCACAGCTAACGAGGGAGGGAGGCGATTTCCCACGTCAGACCCGCAATCCAGCGCAGGGAGCAGCTCCGTCTCGGGGGCACCTCTACCCTGCCCCGGCCCTCCCCACCGGCAGCACCCCGCGAACAGCCCCTCCGGCCCCACCGAAGCCCCCGGGGGCTGTTCTCGTCCCCCGGCCAGGCCGGCGGGGATGGGTGTGCGGGTGACGGGGGTGTCCCCACGGGCAGCCCCTCTGTGCCACAGCCCCGCCGCAGGACCGGCACCGGCAGCGGCAGCGGGGCCGGCAGAGCCCAGCCGGAGCACCAGACCACCCCTGCTTTTCCCAGAGGAACGGGCAGGCCTTGGAAGATATTTCCAGCCCCCCGTGTGTCTGCGCCCCCATCCTCCTCCCGCTCTGCCGTGCGCTCCAGGGTCCAGCTGAGCCCTGACGCACTCGCTGCACCAGCCTGTCCATCCAGGGCTGGATCCATCCCAGCCGCCAGCCGGGCAGAAAGCTCTGGAGTCCATTAACATTCCCCGGAGCGATCTAATCCCCCTCTCTGCCCTGGCTCTGGCTTTCACTTGGGTTTTAATCAAGCCCAGCCTGGCGCCTGTTAAATAAGGGGGCGGATGGCACCCAGCTCCCCGCACGGCACATGGGTGCTGCCGGGCCTGGCGTGGGTGCCAGGGAGGAGGGGGCAGCCGGGGGCAGGGTGTTCACAGGGGTCTCCGCTCTCTGGTAATTTTAAAAGGCATTTTGGAGCCAGAGGAGCTGAGCTCAGCAGAGCCAGGGCCAGCAAAGCCAGGGAATAAAAGCACAGGCGGTTGCAGGGTTGTTATTAATATTTGCTGGATGGTGATGGAGGGAGGGCTCGGCACCAGGGGGGAAATAGCAGGCTGGGGTCCCGGGGAGGGGAGGGGGATTTGGCAGCTGGATGCATGGGTTCCTTCCCAGCACCCCAGCGATGGCCGGGAGGTGCAGGATCCGTGCCAGAACTCCTGGGGACTCAGTTGGGGCAGGAGGTGATGCTCCCCCCACCAACATCCCTAAAACAAAGCACCGGGGCTCAGCTGGGGCGTCGTGCGGGGCTGCAGCACCCCCCAGACACAGGGGACAAGGGTGAC